TTTTATTACAGTCCACAACTACATTAGTAACAATTTCGACCCTGGTGTTCGTTTCAAATGTTCCTTCAAAGTATCCTAATGTCTTTATCCATCAAGCCATCTTAATTTTAACTGACTTTTTATATAGTTTCGGCTTACCCATTTATTCCCAAATGTTATTTGGAATTAGCGTTACATTGTTACCGGTATTAATTTGTATTTTTAAATTTACCCCATTCAATTTAATTTTCATGAAGCTATTTTCTTTCTTATTCTTCTGTATTGAGAAAATATCAGTTTCTCTTTTTGAAGTGTCCATCATTTTTTCGACAGTATATTTTCTTTTTTAATTCACACAGCAATTAAAAATGATTTTTCTTTTCCCAATTTTTACATATCCATCTGCATGCCAGACATTTTTCTGTTTGGTTCATGCTTATAGCTAAAATATTTGCATTTTAGTCTTGTTTTCTTTTTCATGTAAGTGTTGGTAATTTCGGATTCATTGATTTTTCAATCACCTCTTCCTGATATATAAATTTGATACATGACTAACAATATTTGGTTTAATTGCAATCGTTTTAAAATTTTCAATCTATGTATGCTATGTATTTCGAATACATTGTATCAGTTTTAGTTGAATCAATTCTTCTACAATAGACATTTCTTCTTGTCCTGATTAACAATATCTGTTACCGTCTAGTAGCCGGTGCATAAATTTCATAATGGGTCCCTCGTATTCTTGTTTTATTGACAAGATCTTGGTCCGTTTGGCAATGATCAACCTTTTTCTTGGTTGAATATTCCTTAGAATAATCTCTTTGGTTTGGATAAATGTCAATTCTTCCACCTCTCTTAGATAAATCATTAACGAAATCTTCCTAACAGCTTCCCAAACGGCTGTTACGAGAAATAATTCTGTGATTTCGTTTTCACTTCAACTTATTTTGTCGTTCTGTAGTTTCTTTGTTCTAGCAAGGACTGCGAGAAACCTTATCCAAATTTCAACAAATTCTGGGGCTTGTACATGCAATAAAGATCCTCTGGGCGACGCCATATTATTATGATATTCCAAGTAGTGGTTGCAGTTAGTATTTGTTGTACAGACCATGTACCATTGCCATTATCTTAAGTAGCGAACCTATACATAACGTCTACACATAGACGTATGCTAATTACTGGTAGTACTAATTAACCCCTACTACAATTGTATATATCAATAAATCTGTAGCCCAACGGTGAAAAAGCATGGATTTTACACAAATATTTATTTTCAGCATAATCTCCTTCCTGAATTTAAGTCAGTGGATGATGATAATTATATATTCTGACATAATACAGTGAAAATTTCAGATCAAAATTAAGCTAATAACTACATGAAGTTATTGATACAATCTTGTACATATATGAATTTCGTCCGGTTCGCACTCCTCTCGTGTCTTTTGAACAGGAGTAGAGATGTTTCCATTGTTTCCTGTTTAGGAATGGATTACTGGTTCCTTCTAAAAGCTTCATCACTCTCTTTCACACCCAGTAGCTCTTTGCGTCTTACTGGTATATCCTCTTGCTTGGGGGTGTATTGATTAAACAAATTGAAACTTGGTTGTTGATCCATTGGAACCCAACGGTTGACTATACTAAAACTAAGCAACTCATACATTCCTTAACTAATTGAACGAAGAAAATTTATTGAATTAACCGTTCGACGTCCTTTTCACCAATCTGAAGCAAATATAAACTATTTTCGAATCTTGTTAATGAAGTCCAGTGAGGTATTTGCTCAAATTTCAGTATTGATTGAAATTCGAGATCGATTAGGATATTGATGCGTTTGTACATCAAACAGAACACCGTTAAATATATACGGTCATATAAGCAGACATGTACACATGGGAACGCACATTAAATGTTGTACAGCTAGTTGCACAGACACACGCACACATACTCAGCGTGTAAATAACACGTTCACAGATTAAATGAAACTCAGAGAAAAATGCATTCATATATACATATATGAAAGACATGTAATTTTTATTTATGATCAGTTGCAAGGACTAACATTCAAGCACGCACACCCGCTTTTGCAAATGCGTCCGCAAGTACAGGCATGAAATACATAAATTCCCTAAAGCGACACAAATCAATGCAAGGGAAAATGTGAAAATTTGACTCGATCCACTTCAAAAAATTTGACCCAATGATAAAAAAATAAGATTTTATTTTTAAAAGAGCTTCTCGTAAAAGTTTTTTAAAAAAATGATGAGTTTATTTAAATCCTAAAATATTTACTGTCATTATGACAAAGACACTTAGAAGATGTATTCTTCTGTGAAGCAAACAAGTACAAGAATCTTTGGTAACTGATAAGACACTACTAGATAATAGTAATATTTTTTACTTGTCTGTGTTATCCCAGATATCTTCTTAAGCTTCAATATACTCAATATTACATATTTCTTTACATATACTCAATATTACAGATTTCTTTACATATACTCAATATTACAGATTTCTTTACATATACTCAATATTACAGATTTCTTTGTATTTTCTATTATGCGTTATCGGCGTTATTAAGTTCTAAACGTTTATTCTTCAAATAACTTGAAAAGCCATTGAAGTTTTATGAAAATCTCTTGCATGTCTGAAGTGATTAAGGATGAAAATATATCTTTTAATCATTTGATTGACAGCCGTAAATAGATTGCTTGCTTTTCGCATTGACTCCATTTCTGTTTTAACCATAGACCATTTGAATCACCACAGCGTCTAGGTGCAATATATCGGATTATAAACTGATGATCCTTGCGTCAGGTAAGACGATTATTAAGGTTGTTAATTCATACCACGATCTCCGCCTTAAAAATGGAAATGTAATCGATCACGCCATCTGAACAGGAATAGAAGAAAATAAAAGACAAAGTTGTGTTGTAACCACAAAAACAGCTTCACTATTGTTCAACTCATAGGTGCTGGGGTTCAAGTTGTTATCGAAGAGATCCCAAGTCAAACTTAATCATCTGTTCGTCACTTTTTTGTTTTTTATGATAAACATTTTGAATATCGCCCAAAATTAATGACGTTATAGAAATTCTCATTAATTCGAATCAACCAGTCGATACTAATCACAAAATGGAAATAATTAGCATGGACTTCTCTTTCTCACTCGCTATTATGTTATGGATTGGAAGTCAGAGCCAATTCGCAACACTCATTGCTGGCTGTGTGAATAATAATGCATAAATTCATAATTTAGAATGTCCTTCCTGCATGTCGACATTGTCAATTAAAAAAACACTTAGCGTTTTCTATAATAGCTGAAATCTCTAACGAGTTTTATCGGTATCCTTCGGCAATATTAAAAAATAAGTTTTATGATCCCTAACTCACAGCATAGACAGTCACGCATGCACATGTGTTTAGTACCGGTTTAATCGATGAATTACGGTTTGAGTAAACAGAAATTGTAATAAATAAATAAATAAATAATAATAATTTTGAACCCCCCCCCAAACCAGTTTAAATAGCAATTCATGATACAACATAATGAGGTAACAATATTATCATTTTTATTATTACACATTTTAATTTGTATTTAAAGGCGGTAAAAGAAGGTTTATGTTTCGTTTTTCATAGTTAACTAACACATTACATGAAAATTTGAAAACTCTTAAAACACATGATTTTTTAATGATAATGTCGTGTATGAACATCCTTATTTACAAAAAAAAATGTAAAGATTTAAAACTTGATTATAATTAAAATTTTAAAAAATGCAAACAATTCTTGTAAAAAATTATTATTAATCGAAAACATTTTTTCTTAAATTAGAAGCTTTTCTGATTAAATAACGTCTTAGTTTTATTGCATTTTTTTATTTTATGATTCAAAGCAGACTTTAAGTAATTCGGGGGCCCTGCCTTTTAAAAGCAATTTTGCTGATTTAAATTTTCCAAGGATTTCTTTTCTAAAAGTGTTATTAAAATCCAACAATTATTTGATTTTTGCAAGAATTTCCAAATCAATGTGTTTTCACCACAGTAAATACGTTAAAATTCCCCATACTAATCAATACGGGATATTCCATTATTCATGAGGTATTGTCAGAAGATGTTAAACACTTCTATCTTCCCATCTTTTTAGCCAAATCCTCGTCTTACGAACATTTCTTTTAATAATAAGTTACAAATATTTCAGCAGATTATGTTATTTTATTTAATTTATCCTACTGGAAAACCTAATGTCATGACAAAGAAGAACAAACAAAAATAAACTGCTTGGAAGGCAAAATTAAAGCGAGAAATTGTGGAAATCTTATGTGAATTATCGATAGATGTGATTTCAAGAAATTCAAATGTTTCGACACGGAAAAGCAAGAACGTTAATCAGAAATATAAAAGAAATGAAGGAAACTCTACAAAATCTAAAGAAAATGATTAAAAACCGCAATTAAAGGCAAAATGGAAGAAGACAATAAGAAAAACGTTGTAAAGTTCTATCGATAAAATAAGATATTTAAAAAGGTGTCAAGAAATTCTACAGGGAAATTGGAAAAGAAGTTATAGCAGTAAAAAATCCACCGTGTATTGAAAAAGTGCAAAACCTTTGAGAATATTTGGAAAAGCCCAAAGGAATATAATCCCAAATCATGATTGTCTCACAATTACTCATGGTTGATCACTGTTCCTGTGGATCGACATGATTTGGTCTGCGTCCAGTTCGTCCACATTGATGGCGCCAATCAATGTCCATTGCCAATCTGTACTTGTCCCGTTGACCCGACAACAACGCCTACCAATGCTGTTATGGCTTCAATCCCCAATAGCAGGTCAAATCCCAGCGGTTTACCACGCACCACCAACACTTTGATCTTGGCAGAACCGCCTTCCTCCGTGGGTACGGTTACCACTCCTACACCGCAACATGGATGGGACATGCCTCTAACAGTCATGACGTCAACCGTCACTCTCTTCCAAGGCCGACGCCTATCGACATCCACAATCGTCCGGGAACAGCCAGTATCAATCAGCGCCGAACACCAAGTACCATCGACAAGTATGTTTGTCACATGGAACGCTGTATTTACATATTGATTTGGGAAAATGGTGGGCGCTGATGCCTTGTCCTCTGTTCCCCGAACAGTCTCGAGCCCAGTGTCCAACCTCCACGCATCGATAGCAGTGTGTTCTGCAGTGTGTTCTGCGCTTGCAGCAGTCTTTTGCTATGTGGCCTTTGCTGTTGCACCTGAAACAAGTCACACTTGTGATTGGACCACCCTTGATGGGAGACGCGTCGTTACTACGGGGTGGGCGCACAGCCGTAACTACGTCCTGGCTTTCATCACCGATTGTTATCGGCACTCTAGTTCTTGCTAATAACTCCCCCACAGTCAGAGCTTCAACGAAGGCTAGTTTGGTGAGCCTTTCCATCTCAGCTCCCTCGAACCCAGCCAATCCAACAAGCTGCCTGATGTTGTTCGCGTAGACGTCCACACATTCGCCGGTCCACCTGACCATGGTCAGTTTTCTGTACGCTGAAAACGTGTCGTCCGTAAACGCCTCCTTCAGCCTGGCTTCGATCTGATCAACATCTCTCTGATCTTTCTCCTCCATTTCCATGTAGAGGGCTAGTGCACCCCCCTTCCAGCTACAATGGCAGCAGGCTAGCCACATCGTCCACCTGCTGAAGTCTTGCCACCAGCCTGACCTTTTTTAGCCATGCCACCACATCGCCCTGGCCGGAAAATGGTTTTATAACGTCGCTGCTTATGCGAACCTTCGCCATAACTTCCGAAAGAGCTTGTAGTAAAAAAAAACAAAAAACAATGGTGATAGGGGGTGGTTAAAAAATACACTACTCGCCGACAGGCCAACTGTTTTTTCTTCTTTTTCGGTCGCCTCAAGGAAATGGATTGCCGTTTATTCTGGGCAGTTTTGAAACAGACTCCAAACTCAGCCGCGCCTACTTCGACTTCCTCTTTGTCTGTCAATTCGTACGTCCAGCTGTACTACATGCAGTCCGCTGAATGACTCCCGATTTCCACGTGTTCCTGGCACCCCACATCTTATGCTGCCCTAATACGGCCGAAATTTGCATTTGTGCAAATATCGTCTCGTTTAGGACGAGATCGGCGCGCATAAATTGCGTCATCAATAGCGGCCATATTTGTTTTTGTCATTATTTTGCAAGCAAGACACGTTCGCGCTCGTTTCGAATTCTGAGGTAAGTCATGTATTTCGTCACACAAAACAGAATATCAACCATAAACATTTTGTCTGTTCATGTGGGACAATACAATTTCAATATTTGTTATTAGACCAACTGCTAAGATTAAGCGAATGGGTGCCAAAATGGAAAAGCTTGTCACTCGCTACAACATCCATCAACCTAAGACAGATGTTGATCGTCTGTATGTGACCAGATCCAAAGAAGGCAGAGGATTAGTTCAACTAGAATTGTCTTATATAACGATAAGAATCGGCCTTTAAAGATATCTAGAAATTATAGAAGACTGGATGTTGATCTGTGTCAAAAATCATAAAAGAAATAAGAAACATTATTCCGTAATAAAGGAATCCAACAAATTCAAAAAGGAATTTCAAATGGATGAAAAAGATCAAGTAAAACATAATCCAAATAATGTAAAAAGAAGGCCAAAGCAAATGCAGGAGACCAAATACAGAAACTATGGCAAGATAAAACCTCTTCATGGTCAATACTCTGCCCATGCCAGAGAAGCTGATGATTTCAGAAACATTTTAACGACATTACGGCACAGTTAAAATGAGGATTGAATAATGTCATCTTTCTGTTACGCATTTTTTTTTCACTTTTATTTTCATTATCCCAATTCTGCAATAGACTAATATTGTGGGCACTTTCCGTTAAAGTCTTGCTGAAGTTTACGAAGGAAAAAGCTTTACCAACGACAGTGCATGTGACTAACATAGTGGATAAACCAGTATTGACTGACTTTCTCGTCTTACCAACCCTCAGAATAAGTCCTTATATCTAAAAAATCTCAAGCGACAGAAGAATAGAGACAAGCAAATGGGACAACTAACAATTTGTCTTGCGGTTCATTCATCATACAACTGGCCGTATATTCTCTGCCACATCCTCGATGTAGAGAGGCAGAATCTCACTGAAAACGGTGAAGCATCAATGGTATGGGCCACGAGGTGTTATGATTAGACCAGCATGTACTCAAACAAGATTATCTGTCCATCTCCCAGCAGTTCTGAAACTGTTGCGAATATCAATGAAATCTGACAGTTTTTACGTCGATTACATAATAACTTTCCACATGCAACTCCGGTCATCACTTTTATCCCCTCAAGTGGCAAACGTTAAAACATGGGATATTCTATTTGCTGATATTTTCCTGATCTGCTGGCGTCTGTTTGTGTCCGGGGAAAAACTGTATTACATAATCGTTTCTTTCTATAAACTGCTTTCAAACTAATATTCAACGGTCACATCGCTAGCGTTCGATTACTAGCAACTATTCTATGGCTGCCGTAGACAGATCGTCAGCATTCTGACACCGATATAATTAAAATATCACTAAAGCTAACAAATTCCTCGATGAAAGGCTTGGAGGTAAGGAGGCCTTCCTGCTTTGTGAATTTGTGCGTTAATTGGACAATGATTTAACAGATTTCTTATGTTTTCATACTGATTGTCAAATGCTAACGATGGTTATTTTCGTTTAGCATATAATTGTAATTATGTCAGCAGAGTGCCAAGCATTTTCTTAACACGAGGTTTGATCCGTTTTCCAGGCAAGTTGATTGGGAAGTATTAATTTCAGATCGTTGTGTGTTTCGCATTCTTCCTTCTATCAGTAATTATAGACAAATATTAATGGTCGAATTTCGTCCGAGGAAGCGGATGTCTACCAACTAAACAAATAATGTGGGTGACTGGTCTTGTCAATGTTATTGATGATTCTGAGAAGATCATTCAAATCGTGAGAGGTTATCGTGGGAGTGGGTGCCTAGCTCTTCCAACGTCAGTTTTGGTTATAGTTTTAATTCGAAGAGTTGAAACTATTTGGACTATCTGATGCGCTAGTACTGGACTCTGTGACGTTAGGCCAAGAAAAAAATGGAGCATTCAACAATGAAGCGTTATCAAAGACACGTATTTAGAACCAGGTTATAAAAAATAATATCCTTTTCGTGAATATTTTCATGAAAGTAGGCAAAGAACTACATGTGTCTCCAAACTTGCATTTATGAGATTACCAAGCAGGATTGGAACTGAATGACTGCCTCTATGTTGCCTCTAAGGAAGTCTTTTCAAAAGCTGTTAACCACAGAATCTCTTCTGTACAAATTCAACACAGAATTCATATATTAACCATGAGTTTAGCTGAAAAATATATAGGTTTATGACGCATCAAAGACAAAAATTAGTCCAAAAATGTTTGTTAGCCGCTCCTTTCATTTACTAAAGCGCTGAATCGGCTAAGAAACAATTTTACAGTTTTACAATAGATTACAGTTTTGATTACAACTGAGGGCACATAATGAGAAAAGGAGGTTTGGAGAATTTAACATTCACAAGAAATACTGAGGAGAAGAAAGAAGAATACAAATGAATGGATCGCAAAACAAGGGCAAGAGGCTGTGTAAAGAGTTAGGAATTACTTAGAGCAACAAAGACAAAAAAAAAAACTGTGGACGGGCATGGTCCTCCCCACCCCATAAGAATAAAAGCCTCTCTGGATAGTGATAAATACTTTCGACCATCAATTAATAACCCACTGTTGTAACGATTAAGCATGCTCTTGCTACGTTCGTTGTCTTGCTTTCAACATATGACCTCACTTGCGACACTTGTAACGACGTTGAATTTTTTTGGTGACAAGCCGTTCTCACATCTTGAACGGCGACTTTTTCAGCTCATACGACAAACCAAATGAGTTTAAGAATGACAATTGATGTGTTTATATAAACGACACTTGGTGTGATTAGCATTAGATAAATGCGACCAAAATGGGTCACGTTAAAAAGACTATTAAAAATCATCAAAGGAGAGGAAAAGAGAAAGGTTTCCTTCTGACAGCTTATTCTTGCACGTGCCTGAATTTCGTAGTAGTAAAACAAAAAGACCAAGTCAGGCCTCTTCATTAATATATACTACATTCTCTTTTACAGGAATGGCTTAATCTGTTGTTTTAAAACTGAAAATAGTTCAAATGTTGAAATAGAGCGAACATTTTTATATTTTTCGAAAACGTTAACTTTATGACATTTCTATTCAGTGGAAGAATTAAACGATCGCAATAAAAATATCAATATAAAAAATTATTATATACACACATACACACAAACACACTCACACACATACACACAAACACACTCACACACATACACATCTCCACACATACTATAAATTGTTATTTTGAAACATGTAAAATATCGTGAACACACGCGCTGATGAAACAAAATATGAAATCAATGTTGACAGCGAATAAATCTGCTTCTTGATGTGTTGTTCTTAAAGTGTGAGAATAACTTTTGCCAATCCTTTGTAGGATTGCGATTGTAGTCTGAATAACGCTATGAAAGTTCATTTCTTCGAAGGATCATTTATGATCGACTGATAGAAACGAGATGTTCATTTCCGGTGTAAGGAAATTGAAATTGCTATCACTGATCAAACTTATATATATATATATATATATATATATATATATATATATATATATATGTGTGTGTGTGTGTGTGTGTGTGTGTGTGTGTGTGTGTGTGTGTGTGTGTGTGTGTGTTTGTTTGTCTGTGTGTGTGTGTGTGTGTGTGTGTGTGTGTGTGTGTGTGTGTGTGTGTGTGTGTGTGTGTGTGTATATATACGTAAAATTTCCGATCTCTTAATTGTTCATGCCGACGTTCAAGCAGTTGGGAAATATTATTTACAGACAATCCCATTTGTGTATTTGAGGATAAGATTTTGTAAACTACTCTTGTGCTGTCAAAGATAAATGAGTCGAATCTAAAGCCATAAAGCAGAGAATTTAAGATATGCTGAGAAAGAAAATATTTTATCTGAGAACCGATAATTGCAAAACACTTACGACGTGGTTCATTTATATTATGCGCTTAATTATATATATATATATATATATATATATATGTGTGTGTGTGTGTGTGTGTGTGTGTGTGTGTGTGTGTGTGTGTGTGTGTGTGTGTGTGTGTGTGTGTGTGTGTTGTCTGTGTGTGTGTCTGTCTGTCTGTGAGTGATTGTAATTAGTCTATAAATGTCAAAATATGATGTCCTTCCAGTTAACTAATTCATATCCTCACCTGTGAATGATACAATTTGCGCCACAGAAAAATGAACTTGAATTCTGCTCACCATTTATTCCTGAGCAGATAAATTCAAAATTACGGTATTCAAAATACTGGAAAAGCAATCAATGTCATCTTTTATTACAGAATTATGATTAATAATCTATCAAATCATATAATAATATTTCTTCGAGGCTCTTTTTCATTAAATTGAGATCTTTTTTGCACATTTTTCAATTCATTTCACACGTTTTTTAACTAGTGAATTTCGTATAAAAGGTTTAATGAAAATATTCCAGACTATTGTGTGTCCTTCTCGAAAC